AAGTTAGAGCAAGAGGCATCTGTTTGTTTTCTCAGCCACATAACATTATGTGGTGGAGAGTTTTCAGATTCATCTTCCTGTAAACTGCAAAGTGTCACTTCACTATGTGACACTCCTGTCACATTAAAGTGCTTTGTGCTGAGGGTGATCCTGAGCCTATAAGTACCTGCGACCAGGACGCAGGGTCACAGTCACATGTCTCTCTGCTGTCTCTCTGCAGCTGCTACCCACCCAAAACTCCCAGTACCCATAGAGACTGTGTCTGTCCCCTGACCACCTAAATTATATAAATCAAAAATCAACTCGAGGAGTTATTCATAATAACCTAATTAAAATTAAGCCTACTCCTCTTATAGAAATGTATGACCTCCTTGTAGCCCTCCAGCTGAAGCTGTCTCTCCGACTGTCTTTTGACATTTGCATATAGCTGATGAGAAACCACCTGATCTTGGTCTCGACTGTCGATATAATGTATGTACCCAAGACAGTAAAAGAGCACACACTTATCTCAGATGATCGAATCCAGCATTTCTAATCAACAGCTCAGGTTTGGGTTGAAGAACCAAAATAACCAGATAACTTAGCCAGGATTAGAACATCCAGTGTTACTCATTTGATCTTGGACCTGCATAGTGATGTGAACAAAATGGGGCCCAGGCCTTCTCCGGATCACCGGCTGCTTTTGTTGTTGAATTTAAAGCTTGTTCTAACTCCACAAGACAAAATGTGTGCATTTCCTATCCATGTTCCACATGGAGATCTAAGTGATGCAGTCCAGTATTATGAAAAGTTAGTGACTCGCTCCTCTGTGATGATGACAACAGCAGCTGCTGTAAATCTGGACTCACATTGAACATATGCACACACATTTTGGGGGGAATGTGTGGCCTTTGCTTTTTTATATCTCACTGTTTTGTGTCCAGTTTCTTCTCACAGTCAAAAAACCTGGAAACTCCATGTGTTCCTGCTGCCTGTGGCTACAGCAGTGGATCAAGTATTCAGATTATTTTATTTAAGAAAAAGTAGCAATAGCTCAGTGTATGGGCTTCATGGCGAGAGAGGATTGATCCCCTCAGCTGACAGGTGTGTTGTCCCACACAGTGGCACAAAGATTTCAAAAAATAACAGAAATAACAGAATATATTTTAAGGATAAAAGCTTTGTTGTTCCAGTCTGAGATTACTGCCACAGACTTTGCATGAATGCACCATCTGTGCACACTTGTTTTTCGGATTTCTGCCAGTGTCACACCCACTGTGCCACCGAGCACATGTCGGGAAACTCTCTATAGTTCTATTGTCACCCTACATACAGAAAATTCCTGCAGCTGATCGACTACATTTTCAGTCACACCTGAAAAGTTAGAGCAAGAGGCATCTGTTTGTTTTCTCAGCCACATAACATTATGTGGTGGGGAGTTTTCAGATTCATCTTCCTGTAAACTGCAAAGTGCTTTGTTCTGAGGGTGACCCTGAGCCTATAGGCCTAGGCTGCTGTGGGGCCCCCATGAAGCTCTGGAGCTCCTGCTTTCCTCTCCATCCATCCATATCCCACCACTATGTGTGACTAACTGTGTCTCTCCTCTCCTCTCTCTCCATCCATCCATATGCCACCACTACCCGTCACTAACTTTGTGTTTCCTCTCTCCCGTAGTGTGTCCTCTCTCTCTCCCTGTACCTTTCCTCAGGTAGCCCTTTGTTCTGGAGCTCTACGTTTCTGATGAGCAGTCACCGGTCACATCAACCTGACCAGTGTTTGATTGTTTGTTGTTGTGTTTGTTGTGTCTTGTTGCTTTTCTTTTGTCTCTCCTCTATCCACTCACCCCAACCAGTCGAGGCAGAAACCGCCCACCAAGAGCCGGGGTCTGTCGGAGGTTTCTTCTGTTAAAGGGAGTTTTTCCTCCCCACTGTCAGCAAGTGCTGCTCAGGGGGTTTGTTGGGTTTTGCTCTATAATAATAATCGTAAGGTCTAGATGTAACTTTGTAAAGTGATTTGAGACGACTGCTAATTTTAGATTATATTAAGTAATGTTACTGAGCATTCATTGTAATGTCAGTCAGTTCTTCATTTGATTTGAAAAACTTCTTGTTGTTAAAGCCTACTTCCACTAGGCTTGTGAAATACTAAGTATATGGGTGTACACTGAATCTTCATATGAAAAAATTATTTTTTTAAATGGCAACTTATGGTGATTCGCATCTACAGGATTTTCTTGTTATTTTAATTTTGGCATGTAATTTCACTGTATTTTTTATATTAGTTTTTTTTTTTTGTTGTTTCACAGAGAACACCTCATTTGAACATCAGCAGCAGAACGTGACACTATAATGAAACACAATGTCCTTGACCAGGAATGTTGGCAGCAGGGAGGCAAACTGTTGAAGGTTAGGAAACTGAAACCTAACATTGCAGTCACTGTACTATATATGACATTAAAACCTTTTGACAAAAAAAATGTCCAAAAATGTGGTTTGTTAATTTACAAATGCTCAGATGTGATTTATTTCAATTCCTGTTTTCATTCTGCAGGATTCTTTCAGATGTATTAAGTGAAACTGAATTGAAAGTTAATTACCTTTCCCCCTCTCATTAAAATGAGAAACTTTAGTGAAAAAACCCTTTGTGATACCTTAAATTACAGGTACATACACCAGTTATATTACAACCAGCCTTTCTACATGCCTCTCTACAGTACATAAACATTGTGCAATCAAAGCAGAGGTATTTTACTTTTTGTTTCTGTGTTTCTCTTAACACCGTCACATACAGATAGGCAGCATCGATTACCAGGGTGCTGTTAACACCCAGCTCTTCTGCACTGGATGGCAAAATATACAAATAGGGCATAATTTATTTCTTCTAAAATGCCCAGTTCTTACTTTCTTGTTCCCCATATTTTTGTAAGAAAGTTTGTATTTTGTTGGTACCTGATTATCAGATAACACTGTAAATTGAGAGCTGTATTATAAAGAGTTACAAAGGAAAGCCGCTGCTTTCTACTGCCATCACAGAAATTACCAGCAAAACTTACATTGGAGGTTTCAGTGTAATGTCAAGAAGAAGCAGAATTTACATCCCAATTTTCCCCCTGTGATTATTAGCAGACATTTTGGGGAATAAAATCATTCTGATGCCTCATTGTTTCAGCTGTAACAACATCGGGGTGCTGAGCAGGCGCATCTACCGCTGAGCTCCTCTGCATTGAGCAGAGGCACAGTCAAATCATGTCAAATCATGACAGGTGATAAGATTATAAAACTTAGGATTTCAGTCTTGGTTGATACAGTTAGGTGGTAACAGCGAGTGCTTTGCAACAAGTCCCAGATTTCTGGGGGGTGGCTTTTATTGTGAAATGCTTTTAATGTGAAGCAGTTACAGGAGGACATGTTAAAATTTAGTCCAAGGCCACAGATACTGAAACAAAATCCGCCAGCATCTTAATGAGCTTTGTTTCACACACTTTGCAGAATGTCTGCCACCTTCTTTTACTTTCTCTTTAAGTGGATTCATTACAGGGATTTGCTATCCAGTGATTTCTAAATGGAAAGTTTCAGGTAACAAAACTAGGTTGAATGCACGTCCACTTCATCAGTAGGGCTTACTGGGCTAAATCTACAAGGAAGTATGTGTACACACACCACTGAGTTCAACAGGTTTATCAGTGATTATGTGTCCCTTCACATACAATGAAAGCTGTGAGAAACCTGATCATATGATTATTAACAAGGACGGGGCCAGGTAATAGTTCAGTTCACATGAATATTTATTTCTGTTACAGAAACATCATGACTCATAGCCTAAATTTTTATAGCTGTGCTTTTTCAAAGTATGTTTTAAACTGGGAGTAATGAACCCTGGGACAGATGTTGTCATCTGTCCATTTTGTGCTCTTTAATGTTGTGTTTGTTGTAGTTGAGATGTGACAACGCAGCTGTTTGACCAGTCATGGTCAACAGTAATTTATAATAATAATTCATTTTGATGTTTTTAAAATAGCTGTTGTGAAAAAGTGGAATAAATAATGCTGTAAATGTGGTTCATGTCTTTATTTCCCTTGGCAATAAAGGTTTTTTTTTTTTTTTTATTGGTCACGTGAGAAGAAATGATGTCATACACTGGTGGAGGCACAGGAACTATTTGATTAACGACAACAGGAGGCCAGGGTTTGTCCAAGTTAAAGACAAACTTATATAAATCACCCTTTTTAGGAGCAAGAAAAGGCACTTTAAGTCGCACTGCTGGCCTCTAGCTTCCCCACGAAGAGCCACTATGACGGCGTCGGTGTTTTTCGGCTGCACATTCATTGCCTTCGGCCCTGCCATCGCTCTGTTCCTGTTTACCATCGCCCGGGAGCCGCTGAGGGTCATTTTCCTCATAGCAGGGTGACAGCTTTATTTTATATTCATTAAAGTAAGACGAGAGCAAAGTTATGTTCTTTACTGTAGGCTGACACCGACACCAATATCGTGTTTAATGAGGAAAAACATTTTTACCAGCGCTATGCTGCTAGCTAGCCGTCCGCTTCGTTAGCTAACGTTAACAGTAACACTAGTGTTAATGGGCATTAGTGGTGTTAGCGTTAGCTTCCACATCCTGCTAACTGTAGTGGTGCTTGATTCAAGAAGCTTTGTTGTCATTCCACAGAATGCACAGACACACAGTGGATTGAAATGTCGTTCCTCTAGGCCCACGGTAATATAAAGTAAACATATGCATACGCTTCCAGGGGTGGTCAGTCAGGCACAGGTGCGATCGTGCAGTTGCCCCAGTGCTGCCTTTGGATTGGCGTCGGGGGGAACATACACAGCACAGATGTAAACAGCTGTGAGTTCTCTCAGTAGATAAAAGGGTCTGCACTTTACCAACAGAAACTCCACGTCGGGGCAGCACTGTTTGTCAGTGAACACTTTGTTCGTGCACCACGCATTGTTAATGTACAGCATGTGCATAGTCCTCCTCCCACTTTCTTCCTCGAGTCAGCTGTTCTGGAGCTTAGGTACGGCTCGCTAACACAATACCTTCGTCCAGGATAGTGGATAGTATTGTCCAGCCAAGTTTCAGTAAAAATCATGTTCAGGTTGCTATCATAGAATGCAGTGGTCTACATCCACATTCACAGCCATTTGTGAGGCTGGCAGGCTTAATTACACAAAATGTTAGGAAATGGATATATAACTCATAGTTAATGGACCGAATCAAACAAAAAGAATATGTTTAGGAATCCCCACAGGTACCATAATTAAATTAATGTCACACCTGCCTGCTGATATGTGTTTCTTCTTTTTCCTCAGAGCGTTCTTCTGGCTGGTGTCTCTGCTGCTGTCCTCTCTGGTGTGGTTCATCTCAGTTCAGATCAGTAACAAGGACAGTGCAGCGCAGCAGAAAGGTCTCCTCATCTTCGGCGTGGTGCTGTCCGTCCTGCTGCAGGAAACCTTCCGCTTCGCTTATTATAAGCTGCTGAAGTAAGTCTGAGCCACAACATTCACAGCCACCTGACAGTTTACACACAGTCTGTGCTGTAACACTGACTGATCTTCCTTATAATATTTAGTCTGAAAATAGTCAATGGTTGTTTTTCACCTGTATTGCACCCTTTGTTTGGAGTTTTTCCAGCATGACTACTTAGTTTGGTCTGAATTTACTTAAATCTCCACTCATCTTTGAACTGAACCCATTTAACTTGTTGTCACAGACACCTTGGTAAACTGGCAAATTGAGTATCAAAAATTGAAACACTGCTGTCCAGCAAGCTCAGACTTGTTACCTTACATGTTCAATAAGGCTGTAGAACAAATACCTCAGTAATTCAGAAACAACTAGCAGATTTAGGGCTGCCAATTTTGTTTGTAATTATTTGATTAGTTATTTTCTTTATAAAATGTTTGTTATAGTTTCTCAGTATGCTAAACCCAATCCCTGGTTTCTTCAAATACCAATAAAAGAACTGGTCTTAAAGGGGGGTAAACATATTTACTGTGTTTGTTTACAGCATCACAGGGAAGCTAAAACACTGATGTGTGTGTTTTCCTGCAGGAAAGCGAACGAGGGCCTCCTTGCTCTGAGCCAGGAGGAAACCATGCCGATCTCCATACGGCAGCTGGCCTATGGTACAGTTAGTCTGCACTTCACATGAGTGTTACATGCTTGTTCACCCACGATTAAGTCGGAGAAGGGACCATGAGGTGAAAGGGGCAGGTATTTCAGAGCTAGTTGGCAGCTCATCCGTGGGTAAATTGCAGACAAAAATGACTGAGAGCAAATTCTTAATTAAAAATCTTAATTTTTTAAAATGCTAACAAATATAGGCTCAAACACAGACCTGAGTTTGCATGTAGCATAATTCACTGATTATACTTCATTTGTCATTATTTACACTCAGCTGTTTATTAGGTACGCCAAGCTAAAACCGTCACTTTACTCTGACAGTCCTCCAATAATTCCTCCTTCAAAAAGGTGATAATGCTCAGTGTGTGTTCAAACTGTTTTAGTGAGGTGTTGATTCATTTTGGAGGCTGTGGTTTCTGCTGCTGTTGAACTGTACTGTAATGCATCTGATTATGTACCCTAGTCTGACTGACATAAATGGGGTGGACAAAACAACACCTCTGTCAGTATAGCATCATAGAAGCACAATCCTAACATGGATGAGTACCCTTTTAACATAAACACATAATACACACAAATAATTTGATAGTGATCTCTTATTATTATAGTTATTATAGAACTATGACCAAGATATGTGCTGAACAAGATAACTTTTCAGTTCAAGAATAAACTTGTGACAGCTTTATGGTAAAAAAAAACAAACAAACAGTGTAGAGATTGTGTGAAATTGTGTTTTTGTGTCTAAATCGCCTCAAAGACATCTTTATAGTGTCTGTTCTGCAGTTTCTTATTGTTTGAACGTGTTATTATGATGAGCCGGTATCTGCAGGTACTACAGCCTTGCTTGTGTTATCAGTGAGACTTCAGTGTGAAATGTACCTGTGGAATTAAATGTAGCTCTGTTGTTGCCTTGTCTCAGTCTCTGGCCTCGGCTTCGGCTTCATGAGTGGAGCGTTCTCCGTGGTGAACATCCTGGCTGACTCTGTGGGGCCGGGGACAGTGGGGATCCACGGAGACTCACAGCACTACTTCCTGTCCTCAGGTACCAGTGCTCTCTAAAATTCCTACCAATCAAACACCTGTTAACAACAGTGTGACCCTTTTCATTTGGGTGTTTGTGTTTTCATTTCCTGGATAACTGCAGTCACAGAAGATGTGATGTCATGTCCGGATGAAACAAGCATGTTTTAGCACTGCAGCCTCAACCAGTACAAATGCTGCATTTCTGTTTTGTTGGTGGGAATGATTCATATCTTTACAACGTGCTAGTGTTTATGTCATTAGATAAGTACAGATGGCCGCTGCCGGGCTTCTTGTGCTGCTGCTTCTCACTCGTTACTGGAGATTACAGGTGCCATGTGTCATATGTATGTCATGTCCTCCACATCCTTGGACCTGTTCCAGTTGAGCTGTCATGTTTTACTTTTTTATGTTCAGCCAAACACAACAAACAAATGAGCTCTTCTCCTTCCTGTCCTGAGGTCACCATCATGTTTTCTAGTGTGCGTGTGAGGAGCACGTCCGCAGCGGTCTGTCTCCATCCCATCCTACAATCAGTGCTTCACACTACAGTGTAACAATCTTCTTTGCTCTTTCAGCCTTTATGACCATGGCCATCATCCTACTCCACATGTTCTGGGGCGTTGTCTTCTTTGACGCTTGTGAGAAACAGCGCTGGTGGGCAGTAGCTGCTGTCGTCATCAGCCATCTTGTCGTTTCCTGTCTGGTGAGTGGTGCTGATGGTGGGGTGCAGGGCGGCGATGGCTGGGTGGGTGTTAAAGTCTATGTAAAGACAGAAAATAGCGTTATATGAAAAACAAAGGGTAGAGCTGACAGTTGACACTGGTGACTGCAGAAACAAACTATTGTGATAACAGCTGTAAAAATGACGTGTGAAATGATTTAGTATCCAAAATGCTCAGGTTGTCAATTGGACTTGAAGTCTGGCTGCCAACATTGGTACTCTGGGGGTACTGTGATCTGGATGAATGAGAATCTCCAGACTGAAATGATTAATAGAGTAGCTTGATAGCTTGATCTCTAATTCCGAAAAGAAAAGGGAACAAAAAACCTTTTTTCAGGTGCTGGACCAAAAAGACAAATAAAATGCAGTCCGCACACACTGCTGCTCTTCCACAGAGATTTAACTACTGCAGTGTTTCAGTCAATCAGGCAAAAACCTCTAATGTGAGGATTTGTTGCTTTTTTTCTGTTTTGCATCATTGTAAATTTAACAGTTTTGGGCTTTAGACTGTTTGGACAGAAGACATTTGTGAATTTTTTTTTTTACTATTTTCTTTTTCTTTTCATTTAATAGACTAATGATTAATTGAAAAATAATCAGATTAAGCCAAAGCAAAGGTCGTATATTAATGTAGATTCCTCTATTGCATTAATTTCTGTTCCTTCTACTGCAGACCTTCCAGAACCCAGAGTACGTTGGCAGTCTGGTTCCCACCTACATCATCATGTTCCTGATGGGCGTCTGGGCGTTCTACTCCGCCGGCGGCTCACTCAGGAACCTCAGACTTTGCCTCAGCTGCATAGACAAGGACTTCCTTCTCGCCAACCACCGGCCCAGATAACATAGCACGCCAGGCAGCGTGCAGGACTCTGTATCCAAAGACCACCTGAGTTCATGCTCACACACACACACACACACACACACACACACACACACACTGAACACAACACGGATCTCCCTGTTAATCTGTAGTTTTACTTCTGGGGTATTCCAACATCGAAAGTCAGAAATTAAAAGCAGTGAAAGTTTCCTGAAGGATAGAAACAGATTGTAGATGATTGGGTTTCTGATGGGGACTCCTGTCCAGCTCAGAGGCTCAGTGTCTTTGTATGGACCTAATTTAAATCTAATGATAGGTTTCTACACAAAAATACAAAATATGTACTGTATGTTTGGTTGATAGTGTCCTTGTGTTTTCTGATGCTCTGAGAGAAGCAACAGGTGAGCAATGGTACAAAAGAAATTTCAAGTTGTGTATGAAAGTCTTGGCACTCTGTACATATTCCAGTGTTTCATATTTTCTGACGGCTGTCTTCTTTCAAAGGGTGGATTTAACTTTTATGAACCAAACTCTGTGTACATACTGCTGCATTTTTAATTCCCTGATGTGTAGATAGAAGTTTTAACCTTTTTTCAAGTTGTGATGCACCATCTTGAGGCTGAATAAGGACTGACCACTGGACTCTAAATGAGTACAGACTATAAAAAGACGAGCTCTTCTGTAGTCATTCCTGTTTTGGACTGTTTGTCCCACTGCTGTTTCAGCGCTAAGAGGCGAGCTGCTCAGACGGAGTCTAAACTCAAGACAAACAAGAGGAATCTGAAAGTCTGAATGGATCCATTCAGGTTTTAACTTTAAAAAGCTCTGATACAGAAACTGTCAGTCCTGATTTAGCCGATTAATATGAACTTGATCTTAAGAATGTCTTAAATCAGCTTTTTGTCTAACACATTTGTTCAAAAAGACTCATCTTTCTTGTAGATTAGCTGGTGCTTTATGTATGTTTTTCCACTCCTGTGTACACACAAATAGCATTATGAATTCATAAACAAGAATCTGGTTAAAGTGTTGGCTTAGCGATCTTTGAGAGGTGGTTCTTTGTTGCCGTTAGTTGTTTGCAGGTGAGGACAGGAGTTAATGTGAATGTGTCTGACATGTTAGAAGTTTCCTTACAGTGATTGTGTTCCTTTGCCCCTGCCTTTGTTCTGTTGTTGACCTACTTGTGCGTTTGTATCGGTCACGTGCCAGGACAGGTTTCTTGAGGTTTGGATGGATGATGCCAACAGGTTAAAGATGTCACTTGTAACTATTTGCATTGATCCTGTTGTTTCCTGCCTTGGCTGGCACTCCAAACAAAATTGAATTTGGAATCTTAACACTGGTAGAAAAAAGCTTGCATTCAGTTGCCAGTTTATTAGGTACACTTAGTTAAAACTAATCCTAGAGTCCTTCAATAAATCCTGCTCCATGAACTGTATCAGAGCTGTTGACTCAACTGTATGGTCATTTTGGAGGCTGTGCTGCTGGTAAACTGTACTCCATTTTACAGAGAGCTGTTTCTGTCATTTAGCCTAACATTGCTGACAGAAATGGAACAACAAAATAATAGGAACACCTGTCAGTATAATGCAGTACAATACAGCAGCTCCACAGACATTCATGTCGCCTGCAGGAGGAGCTGAAGTAACTGGAGGTCTTGAGAATTTTTCTAGCACCATCTGCAGGTCAAAATTAAAATGTTCAGTGCTTTGGTTCATGGCGCCATTCTCCTTCACTTCAGTTGTAGCTAATTACTAATGAAGAAATATTGTTACATGTTACACTAAAATGGTGGACATGGTAAACATGCCAACTAACTGTTAGGCATGTTAGCGTTGTTTTCATGAACATGTAGCACAAAGCAACTTGTGCATAAGCACAGTCTCGCAAAGCAGCAAGCATGAGACCTGTAGAAGCCAGTGGGCTCAGGGTGAGTGCTGCAAATACATTAGAGAAGTCACTGAGATACGATAACATCAGACTTGTGCTGTTAGTCCTGCTGCATCATCTAGTTTCTTGTAGAAATGCCTAAATCTTTGGAAAATCTGTAATTCTGAGGACCTTTAATGAGCAGTCTGCAGGGCACAAAGCAGGCACCAGGTTTCCAGTAGAGTGCATGTGTGTATGATTGGGCACAAAGCTTGTGGACTTCAGAAGGAGGCTTTCATGGCCATGTGGTTATTGGGCTGAAGGAAAGGTTGTGTGTGAAATAAGATGCCCATGTTTCCTTCTAGAACCTGCCTCCGTTCTCCCCCCTCTCTCCTCCTGCTCCTGTTTCCATTTATGAAAGCAGACACCCCTCTGCAGGGCCACACAAAGCCTGTTAGGGTCTCTGAGGACCCCAGACAGGCACAGGAAGTGTTTCCTCTGCTGAAAACCAGGCTTTCAGATGAAAATACAAGCTAGTGGGGCCACCTCAGCAGTAACACAGGTTCTGCTCCTGAGGTTTGTGTTTCCTGTCAGGTGTTCGACATGGGCCCTCACAGTGTGAACCCAGAGGAGCGGCCATTTTACAAAATGGAAGCCAAGTTAAGGATCTCACTCTGAAACAACTTTTTCTGGAAATAGTTTGTCTATAAATATTTGAATTCCTAATGGAACCAGACTGAAACATTGGCCCCCAGGAGTCACACTGTTGTGTCAACAATGCAAATGGTGTGTGTGTGATGCCTGCATGTGTTTTTTGCAGGTAACATTTTGGCCCGTGGGTGTCAGTAGAGGAAAAAGTGCCGCGAGTAAAGCAAAATCTTTTTCTTATGTTTTTAATGTAAATCTGTTAGCTGCGGATAGTTGGAGTAAAGCAGTTAGTTCAGTCTGTTAACAGCGCAAAACCCCCACAGTTCTGTTTGTAGTCTGGTCCTAAAGCAATTTTCTCAAGTGAGATAAGTTGGTGTCAGTATTACTAGAACCTGTCAAAAAAAAAAAAAACTATCCTGAAACAAGATCCAGGTGGTGTGCTGCTGTGATGGAAGTAAATAAAAGGAAGCCTTATTTCAGAAAGTAGAAATTGATTTACATTGAAAACAGATTGAAATATTCTGGCTGCACTAATGGAGCTTAACTTTTTGAGAAAATGAGACTCAGCTGTAGAATAAAATGACGTGTTTTTTGCAGGGAACAAATGTATCGTACCTTCAAAGGTGATTGTGTGACTAAAAGTAAACACGGCTGTGCTTAAAGCAGATTTACTTCAAAATTATACCCAAGTACAGTACTGTAGTAGAAGTAGTTACTTCACCCTTCACGTTGTGCTGAGACTCCACTGACTGTGGACCACACGGGGGCGCTATTCTCACAGTTCAAGCCGTCAGACCAAGGTAAGTGCAGCTCTGATGTGCACACGTTAGGTTTTAGACTTATTCTGATCAGCAAAACCAATTCACAGTTTGCTGTTTTGCAATGGTGGAAGGTAACATTTACTCAAGCACTTTACATAAATACTTTCAGGTATACCATTTGTGTGTTTTCAGTTTCTGCTACTTCATACTTTGACTTCACTATATTTTAGAGGCAAAAATTCTACTTTTCCCTCCACTACATATACTAGATAACTTTCATTTTTAGATTAGTGAAAAAACAAACAAGAGAATCAGAATCAGCTTTATTGGCCGGGTGTGTTGAACACCTGTTGAATGTGACTGCGGGGGCTCTCTCTCTCTCTCTCTCTCTCTCTCTCTGTCTGTGTGTGTGTGTGTGTGTGTGTGTGCGCGCGTGCGCGCATAAGACTTCCCCCTAGGAAAGTCACCCCTCAGTATGTGAAATACTTCAGATTATAACATCAGCTCCACCTTTACCAGCTGCAACATTAGATGTAGATCTAGTTATAATCCAATAATATGATATACATTAGTGTGAAATATGCCATACTTGTACTTTTGGTAATTGTAAGTATTTTGAAATAATTTTTGTGCTTTTAAATACAGTACTTTTACAATGTGACCTTTGCTATATTGACATAAGTGAACAATCGGAGTACTATATAATATAGTGGATTAAACTTGGAATTCCCAAATCAAACTTCCTCTGCACAATGTTGTCTCTGTTTTCTAATGAACTAAAAGCACCAAATCCCGGGTCCCTAGATTAGCCCCGCCCACCTGCGCATATTTTATGCAAATGAGCAGGTGCGGCGGTTCTTGAGGCGCGCGCCATGCCTCTCGGGGATGAGCTGGATGGAGCAGCGCAGGGAGCAGCGGGAGTCCGGCCGGAGGGATTTCATCAGGTGATGCTGTCCAGACTCGACTGACTGCGGATCGGCGTAACACGAATGGATCCCTATTTAAGGCGTAGCTGGAACAGGCTTTTTCACTTGTTGTCGTTGTATTTTATTCTAATTTATCAAGGTGAGTCAACATCACTTATTGGTACCACAGGGAAATGAAGATTTCTGAAGTGGGAAATAAAGGATGTTGTTCCATTCCTAGTAGCAAGAGTCGAAGGAGATGAGAAGAGACTAAATCCCACATTTGTTTTCCAGTTGGTCTCCTTTTAGTGGAGTCACTGCGTTTTTCAGTTTTTCTTTATTTAATATTTTATGTTCCTTGATTTCAGCTCGTCTTTCCTGGTCTGTTGAGAGAGCGAACGTTTCAAACCGGGACGAATTTAATAAGTGAGTTATTGTTTATATTTCAGTTGCACTGTGTTGTTTAGTTTATCATGTTCTAGTTTGCTGTTATTTGCATTATATTTTATATAGACTAGCCTATATAGTACTGTGCAAACATTTAGATTCAGTACATAAAAACAGTGTGAGAGCTTTCAAAAGTACTTTTTGATTGTTTTTATTTCTGAATTAAATATTTATGAATTTCTTGTAGTGCAGAGAAGAGAAAACCAAATGACACCAGTATCTGCTGTGACCAGCCTTTAAACGGCACCAGTTCTACACTACTGTTTTATTCCAATAGCATACAGTTGATACAATTTTGAAATAATAATAGTAAAATCTAAAGCCTGTGATTGTTGTAACTGGGGCTGAAATGACTGATCGGTTGGTTGGTTAATCAATTAGTCAACTGACAGGACAATTATTAGTAAGTGTTCCTTCCGCAAAATTGCTAAAAGTTCGCTGGCCGTTGCTTCTCAAATGTGAATATTTACTTTAAAAAACGTCCTTTTATGGTTTAAAAAGCCCTTTGGACTGTTAGATGTACAAACCAAGTAAGCAGAATATTTGAAGTTGGGCTTTCAAAAGTCGCGCAGGACATTTATCGCTGTTTTGTGACACTTCGGTTGATTAAGTTGATAAGTGGCAGATTAATTGCTAATGTCCATGACGGTAGGTTGTAACCCAGTTCCTGTTTTGACCGTGGTAGCAGGCAGTTTGGTGGTTTGGTTGGTTCCTGGTTGGTGGTGGGTTTGTGGTGTCGGGGGTGTAACTGCAGCAGGAACAAGCCTGTCCTTGTTCTCTGTGTCCCAGCAGCAGGAGCAGCAGGATAAAGCAGCAGAAATGGGACACCGCTTCCCAGGGAGAGCAGGTAGGCATCAGCATTGATCACTGAGGCTGATGGAGCTGCTTCAGGTGGCAAACACAGCCAGAGAAAAAAAAAAAAAAAAAAACACTCACACCAAAACACTGAGCTGGAGAAAAGAAAAGCACAAACAAGCACCTGTTATTCCAATCAATTATTCCCAGTGTTCCAGAATTTCCAGTGAAAATGTCCAATATTTTCAGTTTTTGCTCACAAGTGTATATAGGGAGACAAAATATGTATAGCACATATATAGTAAAATATTACTTATGCAATTTAAATATCCTGAATGATGTAAATATTACATATACAATACGATACGATATTTGGGATGGTACTGTTATACATGCAGATCATTAACTGATATTACTGTGGATTTTTAGAGCTATGGTTTTGTTTTTATTGTAAAAATGTCACAATGAACAACCTGCATAGTTTCATATCAGATAGAAATGCAAGTCCAGTGCCTTTGAGTATTTCTGTGCAAAAATGTGCAAATTTCCCATGAGATCGGAAAAATGTGCACTGTAACATGTAAAGGTAAAATTGCTCACACTTTCAGCAGAAATACACAATAGCTGCACTGTTGTCTCGCTCTTACTCTGTCAGAGCCTCTGCCCACCTTTTGTTCAGCTTCTCTTTAAGTGAGAATCTGGTCTGAACTACAGGGGCTAAATGAAGAACGCAAATAGTAGCACAGGTCAGAGGTCACGGTCTAGAGAGGAGAGCTCATGACAGATCTGAACACATGATGGCTCACTCCTAGCTGAGTCAGGACATTGTGAATTCTGGGTTGGTGCTCTGCTGTGTTCATGTTTGACCCGCTCTGTTTTTGATATCTCTGGTACTGACCAGCGATTAATAATTCAGTCGCACACCCCTCATACCCCCTACCCCTTGCCCTTGCCATGTGCTTTGTTCCTGCTCTTTGAGATGAAATACTTGGCTCAGGTATCAGCACTTACAGTGCTAGTACCAGTATTTTTTAAACCAAAACTTTATATTTTCTGTCCAATGTGACCATCAAAATGTGAGTTCCCCCTAGAGTTTTATTCTTCTGAACCTATTTTCTAAATTTTTTATTGTCTGCAGCACCATAAGGTAAATTCAGTTTCAGCAGACTAGTCGGTAAACATCCTCTCACTGCATATCTGGTACAACAAAGATCATCCAGACTGGGAACAGACTGGGGGAGGTGGTGCAAAGACATAGGGCGGGGCTGTCGACCTGGATGATGGGAAAGCTGTGTTGGAAGTCACAGAGGACTCACTGATGAAGGCTGGATGACAGGTCTTTTCTCTCAAACCTCTTCCTTTCCCAGCGCTCCCTTGTTTCCATGCTCACCAGTCAGGACTCGGTTTGGCAACAACCTATGTGATTCTGGGAGGAATTCTGGGAGTTGTGAAAGCTTTAGACTTCCTACTCTTTAATCACAACTTTATTAATCTGTCACCCGAGAGCTGAACTTGTTTTTCTGGATTTGATTGACATTATATTAATAACACAGAGTTAATTAAATGAATCAGACCGCGGTTCAAGGGCTTAATTTAGGTTCCTGAAATTGACTCTTTGCTCTCTTTGCCAAACAGTGTCAAGGCCCAGTATGAAAAAGGTCAGATTTAATGCATAAAGCTCTGGAACATCACTCAGCAGGAGCAGGACTGAGTGGCTGCAGATATGCATGAAATACATGTTGACACTGATTCTCTCCTTGAAGGAACTCCAGACGGCAGCTGCTGCATTAGGAGCCAACGCATCTTCTTCCGGTCATTCTTTGGTCAGTCAGACCGCTGTGTCCAACCTGACATCCTCCGGTGCTGAGAGTACACTGATTTACAGCTCTGACCAATCATCTGCAACCACCGCACCATCTAGTCAAACACCTTTAAGAACAGTATCATCCAGACCAGCCAGCACAACAACCAGACAGTCACCAACAAACCTAACACCATCAACTAGCCCAGCAATATCCAGTCAGTTAACAACCAGCGCACCAACTAGTCCATCACAACATAGTACAGCACCGTCTATTCAATCACCATCAGATACAGAACCCTCCAGCCAATCATCAACCACCATACGACCAGTCAGCCAGTCATCAAAGAGCACAGCATCAGCCAAAACCTCAACAAGCAGCACAACAGCCACCCAAACACCAACAAGGAAAGTTCCACCTAGCCACTCAGCAACCAGCACAGTGCCAGTTAGTCAGTCATCAGCCAGTAATGCACCAGCCACAACCTTCTCTGGCCATTCAGCAGGCAGCGTTGCAGAACCCAGCCAGTCTTCATCCAGCCTAGCACCACTGAACCAGTCAACAATCGGCTCAAAAACATTAAAGAAATCCTCACTCACCTCAGCATCTTCTACTCAATCACCAGTCACTTTAATACCACTTAATCAATTCATAGCCAGCGCAAAATCTAATAGCCACTCACTGTCAGATTCAGCACCACCTGACCAATCAAACCGATCATCATCTGGTTCAGCGCTCCTGGTCAGCAGAGCCTTTTCACCAGATGAGCGTCCATTTGATATTTCACTGCTCAGCAGGCAGGCAAAGGAAGCCTTGAGGTCGTCATTTCATAGGATTCCAGGTAAATCTAAAACTGGTGTCAAATATAAGCAGTGGGTATTGAAGAATTGACATCCTCATTCCATGAAGCCTGTTGTTTCATTTTATTGGGTGAACAGTAAAAATCACTAAGCTGAGTTTGCTGTCAGAGAAAAGTATGAAAACTAGTAGATACTCAGATTTAAGAAGTGGGTACCAATGATTTCTGGCAGTCGTGCTCAAAAGACGACAGTTAATTGTTGCCAGTTCAGTAAATCATATAATCAATTTGGCTGTGGGGTACTGGTTTCTGGGTGCCTCTGGGAAATATTGAAATTGCTGTGTATAGTAAAGGTCAATAGGGGCCCAGAGGGTTTTGTCCTGTACCCTTCCTTGTGGTTAATCTGGCCTGTGTAATCTGTGTGGATGGGGTAGATAAACAGAAGCTAAATCTCCATCCAGTAACAGCAGCTGCTGAAAGACACTGAAACCTTCATGCTCTTATCCAAGTCAAATGATCACTTAGGTAAAAGCTACAGGTCCCATGAAACATCTACAAACATAGCAACACGTGCTTACGTCATCAGGACTTGGTTTTACCCATAAAATCTCACTAATCTTCTCTTCTGTGTCATAATTTGTTCTGCTGTTATTACAGATTGGTCTGAACTAACTACGACTCAGTTTGCTCACAGACTCTTCTGCCGAGCTTGATCTGTTAAATACATCTAAAAACACAAATAGTTCCAGTGATTTTCAGAAAACGTCCGTCCTTATCCTAACATCTGAATCGTAAACGAGACAAACCTTTGACAGATTCTATTCTAATTCTGCATCTTTAGATATTAGCATTGCTACAGATGTCAGTGGGATTTTGAATAGGTTTTCTTTCTTCTAGAGCAGAACCTTAAAGTTCTGGTTTTACCTTAGCTTTCTATTATCTGTCATCTAACTCTTGACAAGGAAGCAAATATGTGTATCTCACAAAATAAAGAACAAAATTCATGAATATTAGCAAAGAAATTGTGGTTGTGGCTACAAACTAGACAACATTAATTGCTAAACCTAGTTTCTGCCTGTTGAACGAACCCATATCAACATGCCATAGAAGCAGTGCCCTGTTCTCTGCACCGAATGTTTGGCATACAATGTGTGTCACTGTACTGAACGGTAATAAGTGAACAAGTTCACTGTCCTGAAAAAACTCCACCTTTACCAGCTGTATTGGTGGAAAGCATCACTGTGCAGGTTTTTCTGGCTACAAAGGTCCAAAGTCCAAAGTTACAACTTTTATCTCCTGATGCCATTTTGGAAGCAGCAGAAAATTGGGTAACATGACTTTAAACTGAGGGACAAAAAAGCCCTCTACTGTAGTTTCCCCCTCACAGGTGGACAGAAGGACAACAGCTTTTATCTGATGCATTGGTGCGCCCCATCCCCCAAAACCCCTTGATGCTACCTGTGTATGTGTGGGACGTGGCTGACTGGACAGACAAGCTGTAAGCCCACTGAGCAGATGCTGTTCCTGCAGGATGAGGAGTTGTTGTCGGGTGTTTGGTGGTGGTGCGTTCAGTGACTGGAACACTCGCTGAACGCCATATGGGTGCTGATCACAGTGGGTAGGGCAGACGGATGGCAAAATGAGCTTAACTTTCTGATGTATTGGTTCTCAAATTCAGTCATCAGTTTCAGTGCATGGTTCACTGGGTTAACGTCCTGGTTAGATTCTGTTGTTCCTCTTGACCCCTACTATAAGAGTACACAGCACATTCATTATTTCCCAGTCGCCCAGAAACCAACCAGTAGTCTAGATTCATTGACTAATCAATTAGTCCAGTGACACAGAATAAATTGCCAACAATTGTGGTAATAGGTTAATTGCTTGAATTGTTTTAAAGTAATTGTCAGATGTATTGATAATAAAATTAAGTCCTACTTCTGTGTGAAGTACTTAGTTAGTGGTGTTTTATTGAAACACTAATAAAACAGATTTAAAATTGTTCATCAATACTGGTTTCTACTTTGATGAGCAGCAACAGTGTCACTGTACATTTGATCCTTGCAGCAGAGCTGTGTGTGTTTCCCTGCCTGAACGGAGGACGGTGCGTCCAGTCGGAGTCATGTGACTGCAGCTTGTATCAGGCCACTGGGCACAGATGTCAGACAGGTAAACCCTCAGAACACACCTGATGTTCTTCATTCTAGAACCCATTTGAGTTAATTTAAGATATATTGTGGACTGTATATGTTTTCAGTGAAACTAAACTCACCTTCACACAGATTTCTAAGATTGTGCCTTAGTTATGAAAAATCCTCTATCTTTTTCTCTCCTCCACTTCATATGCCCAGTTCCAAATCCTGGCTTCGAGAGAGAGATGACCTGCAGGACATGGGGTCAGTACAACTTTGAGACCTTTGATGGCCTTTACTACTACTTCCCGGGTCGGTGCACGTACACTTTGCTGAAGGACTGTGAGGAAACCAGCCAAGCCAGCGTCGTCGTTCAGGTTAGTTCAGACTCATGCACCAGGACAAAATAAATCCTCCCGACAAGAGGCTGCCCAGAAGGTTTCAGCTGGAAAAGCTTTGTTCTCAAGATCAGTGATCTGGTTATTAGAGCCAATTACCATTAAATACTGTGATTACCCACTGTGCAACAGACCAGAACTTTGTTCCCCAAAAAGACAGCAGGCACTGTAGCTGTGTCTGTGAAGGCCAAGCAGGGAATATGAAAAGATCCAAATGCAAAAGAACTACAAAACTTCATTGCTGCAAATGAAGCGAACTGACCATATTAGAAGGAAGTGAGATGTGTTTGAATGCCTCAGGAATTCAGAAAATGGCAAAAGTAAAGGAAAAAGTATTCATTTTTGGAGAGATATCACTGGTATTGCACTGGCACTGCTATTAGTGGTCATGCTGCATTTGACTGCTGTAGTTCCTTCATGTATTATTGAGTAGGTTAATCTATAGCAGTGCATCATATGATATAAGATTATTGTAAATTTGTGGCATTACTGTCCTGTGAAAAGGCTTTTTACAGTAGCTTCAGGGCATTTTGCAGGTGATACAAAGTTTAAAAAATACTTACATACCTTAAGAACTTGGAAAATTTTCTCCACCCTTAAAAGTATAAATAATTCCCTTAATAAATCCATATTTATGAAATTTAGAGGTGCATAGATTTTACTGAACAGGAAGAGAAAGTTAAAGAAAGTAAAACAATGTACTTTGTTTTCGTGTAGTGGAGTACAACTATAAAGCTGCATAACATTAAAATGCTCATTAAGTACAAATAACTTCTACTTAAGTACAGTACTTGTGGAATGTAACTAGGTAGATTTACTCAACTACTGACCAGTTGTTTTTTAAATTGTTTGCTTAAAAATGACATTTGTCATCTCTTTAATAAAGAATCAGACAAATGCTCTCTCAGCTGAAAAAGATGTGAATTCTTGTAAACTGAAAGTTGCATTAGCAGCTGACTGTCCTTCAGTGCAGTAGAGAGCCAGGACTGTTTCACCTCTGTGACATCACCACTCTGACAGAAAGATAAACGTGATTCACTGTTTACTGTGATGGATTATTTGTCAACCAAGTTTCCTTTGTGACTTGAACTGAAAAATGTTTTAGCTGTAGTCAGTGGAGGGAAATCATGAAAATCCACCAGTATGATCTTGAAAAAGCTGATATGCATTCTGAAGTATTAAAACTCCCACCGTGTGGTGCCAGTGAGGACACCGCTCTGGTTTGTGCACCTCCTCCTAATGAATGGACAGAAATAATTTAATGTTGCATCTTGCTGTATGCAGATCCACAATGACCCAAGCTGCGGCTCAGCCCTGTACACGTGTCAACGATCTGTCAGCCTCTTCCTTCCATGGGAAGGCGAGGTTCGGCTGTACGCCACCAACGTGACCTTCAAAGACCAAAGGTCAGCAATGTATGCAAAATGCTTTGATATGAAAATGCATTTATTTTTAGTCTCTCTGCTTGATCTGCTCTTTTTCCACATGTATGAAATGTATCAGCATCCCTACCAGTGAGGAGGAAGCAGAAGGTAGCACCGAATAGCAGAGTCAGGAGAGTGGTGAAAGGAGGCAGCCAAAGAAAGAAAGGGCCGTAGGTCAAAGGCCAAAGTAAACTGGTCTAGAGTTAGTGAGAGGGGCATATGGGCAACAGTTATTCAGATCTGGCAGATACTCTCGAAGCAATGAAAGAGACAGCTGAGAAGAAGCTAGAGAACTTGGGAGATGTACTTTATGAATACAAGGTGCAAAGGTTTAGAGTTTGTGAGAGTAGAAATAAAGCAGCTGCAGAGCTAGTAAAGGCAAGGTGGCAGCAGCAGATTGATATTCTGGTTCAAGAACAAGGACAGTTTGGAAAGCGGTGGAGAAAAGCAACAGAAGTTGCAAAATGACCTGAAATCTAGGCTGGCAAATCTAAGGAGAGCAGAAAGATTTAGAAAAGCTAGTCCGAAAAAGGAAGCAGACATCTGGCTAGTTACCTGGTGAGCTACTTGAAATGTTTGTTGGCCAGAACAGCATTCAAACCATTTGCTAGTGTTAGTGACTGTTTGCTAACAGCCTGAATTAGCCTGAGTAGGTGAAGGGTTGTGTTGGGTGTGTGGGTGCAGGCACAGAAGGGGTGGTCCTGGGAAGTGTTTGATAGTGAAGAAGTATTTATGTTCCTTGTGGTTTTAACCAAAAATTTAAGGCAAACATTAAACTTTTTTTCCAAATAAATGAAAAACATGAAATTGGCACTACCTTCCCCCTCCTTCAGCAAAAATGTACTGAGCTGAATCAAAAACTGACCCCAAAATTGTGATATTAATTCTGTGAACTGTTCCACCCCTGATCTGTATATAGTACTCCCTGTTGAAAAGAGTTCAGCCAGCGTGAGTTGCTTATAGAAAAGATGATGGTGTCTGTTCTCATTATGGATTCACTGTCAATTTATGTAGTTTGCAGCTGCCTCATCTCATCCATGACCTGCAGCTGGAACAGATCTCACAGTATGTCCTGGTGACGCAGCAGCACGGCTTCACGCTGGCCTGGGAGGGAAGCAGTGGCTCTGTCTACATCAAACTCAGCCCAGAGTTTGTGGGCAGAACCTGCGGCCTGTGCGGTAACTTCAATGCAGACGTCCAGGACGACCTGAAGACGAGCTATGGTAGGATCGCTTTGTCTGTGACATGGCCATGCAGTAGATTAGCAGTCTAGACATCAGAGCTAAAATGAGCATAAATTTAGTTGGAAAGTGAAAGGCTACATGGTCGTTATAGCATTTCATCTATCCATCCATTATCGTCCACTTATCCGGTGTTGGGTCGCAGTGGCAGCAGGTTCAGCAAGGCAGTCCAGACGTCCAAAGGGTGGCGCCCTGGAGGCATTCAGTTATACACATTCAAATCTAGTAATTTCAGTGCTTAAAGAGCCCAACAAGTCATTTCATTTAGACTTGTTGATGACAAACTATTGTCAAACCATAACTTTAATAGTGTGGTTTGCAGTAATAAATTCTCTAAGTCAGGCAAATGTCTCCAAGCTAAATGCAGTGAAATAAACCAAAGAGGATGAATGTACAATATAACTGTTAGGGTTAATCACCGGGTACATCCCCCGTCTCTTACAGGAACCATTGTCCCCCACTATCATCTTTTCCTTGTCTTAGTCCCACCTACATAAGATGTGAAGAAAAATGTGAGTGGAGAATTGAGGAAACATGTTTAAACAAACATGAGACGTCCTTTCCTTCAGTCCTTTACCTGAAGCAGCCAGTCACCAACTGCTTTCTGATAAAGGGTTGTGTCGGTCCACAAAAAACTACTGCCAAGGATGGTCTCTCGTGTCCTCACCCATGGCTCCTCCAGCAGCCTCCTTGCTCCTCAGAGCAGGAATAAAAGTCTTGGGACGTCCTCGAGCCTCGCTCGGCCTGGAGGTCATATAAGAGACTTGGGATGTGCCCTATGTCTGAGATTAGCTTCTTCTTCTTTGAGAGCTCATGATCACTTAAGAGCTGCTTTTAAATGTTCACACTTTGCTGTAAGTCAAAGGAAGCCACACTCAACAACTGGTTTGAACGTTTTCTCTGTTTCAGGTGTGCTGACTCATGAAATAGAAATGTTTGGGAACAGCTGGGTGGAGATGCAGCCGCACCAGGCCCCGTGTGCCATGGTGCCATCCGGCTTCTCTTCACCCTGCGCTGCAGTCGACGCTCATGTTCTGCTGGTACGCACTCTGATAAACACTGTAGGCTGCAGAAAGCATGTCTCTAACATGAACAATAAACATGACAGGTTAATGACATGAACAGGAACTGGTATTAACAGTGGAACACAGCGGTAATGCTGCAACATGGAGCAGGTGTGTTTCAGATGACATGACAGGGTGACAGTCACTTCCTATTGAAGTCCCATTACTTCAAAGTGAGTGTGTATTTTTTACAGAGACTATTTTTATTTTTTTGTTTCATTAATTTTCTGTTTAGTTTAATTTGTTTTTTAAATGAAACCTTGAAAGTATGATTTATACTTCAACATAAAGTTGAAAGTGTGGACTGTCTCATCTAAATATCAAGCTGAAACCTTTTTGCTTACTTTTATTTTTAAGTGTTAACTTAGTGCAGAATAGTCTCTTCCCTCACAGATTTAGTTTTCTTTTACATCTTTAGTTGGACTGAGTGATGAGTGAAAACTGTCCCTGTGTGTTTTGTGGCTGCAGAAAGTGGAGGAGACATGTTCAGTGCTGCTGGAGCCACCATTTCAGAGCTGCCATGACTTTGTCAGCCCTCTGTCCTTCATGGCCAGCTGCTCCAACGACCTCTGCATGTAAGATCAGATCCACTTTATTGATCTCTGATGGCCTATGAGCAGCAGCTGACATTCAGGCAGTAAGGAAACTACCTACTGAAATAACGTGTTGACAGCTGACACTTTGTCCTGATGGTTGTCCTCGATGTAGGTGCAGGGGCTCAGGCTGTAGGGGTTCACCACACGTTTTATTGGAATCAGCCATTAGTTTTTGCAGAGTTTCTGAGGTGTTTGCTGAATTAAATTTAGAACTTTTTAAGACATTTTCATGGTTATACATGTTAAAGAATGACAGCAGGGACAGTTGGGGCATCAAATATTTGAGAAGTACATGATTTTATGGACACTAAGATCAAATTTATGTTGTTTCTCAGCTGTAACAACAATTCTTATTAATACAATATAATCATTCAATTAGCTGACCGCTCTGAACCCACATCCATGTTGAAGCAACGCTAGAATCTGCAGACTATTTTTTCCTGAGTGGTGTTAAGTATTGTGTTGGTGGTCATCCAGTACAGAACAGAACCTAGTGCTCAAGACAAAACTGTGTCTGGAAACATATTTGATTTATCCCTCTGAGAACATTACTGAGAGCCCTTTTGGTTTTAGCTTTCAGTTTAAAGCCTCAGAAGATTTACCCATTAACAGACAGGTCTCCAGTTCTCTCCACCAGTACAGACAGAGCTGTGGGTCGTTATTTGGTTGAGGTGCACAGTATGGCTGCAGTACCTGGTTCTGTGGCCACACCTCTCCTGGCTCCGCTCAGAGTCCTTCTCTGTTTGTTGCTCTGTTGAAGGTCAGGTCCCAGTGTTGATGTGGTATGCCAGGTGTTCAGCGAGTACGCCCGGGCTTGTGCCCACGCCGACCACCCACTGCACGACTGGAGGCAGCGCATTCCTCAGTGCGGTATGTTCTTCCAGGTGTTTCCAGAGTGTGCTGGAGAGCGCCGCATCAACCCAACACTGCAGCAGAAACAGAGCGCATAGAGTGTGACGGCCTTATTTAATTAATTAAACAAACAGTAATTAAACATCTTAGATTAGTTTCATGTTACAATATAATTAATTTGGATCTCAGTTATAGTTATAAGACCTGTATCTTGTAACTATGAAATGCAGAGTTGTCATTATTATGAGATGTGAAAGTCACAATTATGAGAAAATGTCTCCATGTATTGTTCTTTGATGAATGCAGTACTGTAGGTTGATGGTGTGCAAATCAAGAGATTCAGCTGCTGTGTTGTTTGGTTGGACAGTACAGAGCAAGACTCTGTTAAATTAGAACAAAATCCCCACAAACGTCAAGTGATTTCCAGAAAATACTCTTTGCTAAAGGACACAGGAGGTGAAGGTCAACAGTGGATATTACAAATTCTTACATTTTTAGTCCAATTTAATGTGAAAATTGTCAGCACATAATGACAATACCAGGGCAGCCTACCAAACATTTGTTTCTGGGTAATCTCTAGTGTCTGTCTTTGCAGCAGAACATTGTTTGACATTTGTTGTTTTTCATTTCTGCCACCAGCCAAGCAATGCCCTCCAGGGCTGCAGCACAGGGAATGCATCAGCTGCTGCCCAGAGTCCTGCAGCCTGGAGCGAGCATGCATCGACAGCAAGCTGGCCTGCTTGGATGGCTGCTACTGTCCAGACGGTGAGTGTCAGTGTAACCTCTGTTCCCCACACTACCTGCAAATGCATCTCTTATTGCAGTTTCTCTCCCGTCTTCTGACCTGAAAATAAACCATTTCCCATCTCTGTAAATGATCCTTTCATCACTTTTCTTTTGCATCCTTCTGATGTAGTTTGTTTGATGAACTAAATGGATTTAAGAGAAAAATCCTGTCTCGTCTGTATTGTTATGGTTTGAACTCCAGATGCTATGAAGTGATATCCTGTGTGTCTCTGCCCTTTCTCTCCTCAGGTCTGATCCATGAGGACGGAGGCTGTGTGGCGCCCTCTGATTGTCCGTGCGAGTACCATGGTTTGTTATATCCATCTGGACAGATGCTGCAGGAGAAATGCAACAATTGGTGAGCAGTGTTTAACGCTCTGTCACCACGTGTGCCATTATAACAAGACTGTGGATGAAGGAACTGTACTGAAAACGCTCGCCATGGTTCTTGCATGCATAAACTTGACAGAGCTTTTCTCTACTGGACACTGTTGCATTAATTCATCATGTGTTTAAACAGCATATTGTCCTGCAGACTGCATGCAGTCCTTTTAATTTTCTAATCTGATCTGAGCACCTGGGCTCTGTGCGTCCAGGTTCTGTTAGCGATCCAGCTGGTTAGCTCAGCCTTTCGTGTTCTCAGAGCCACCTGTGGACGTCTCTGCTTTCTGTTTCAGCACATGTGTGGGTGGAGTGTGGAACTGCACTGACTACAGCTGCCCAGGTTTGTTCACTTTCTGTGTGGCTGCTTAAAATCTTTAATTTAAAATGGCACTGCTGGTCACATTTAATGCAAAGCTAGATATTGTCTTATCACAATCGAAAGAATTTCACACAGTCATCTTCTCTTCAGGCTTCTGTGCATGTTAACGTCTCTAGTTAGAAAGCAAGAAACGACCAAGGTTCCTACTTAGGGAACTAGAAAGATCACCACTAATTGCACCTGGTTAGTTTTCTGTCTTGATCCTGACTTTTCTCTGACTTCATGCAAATATAAGCAGCAATAACGGCACAAAATCAAGGTGGCTGCAGTTTTTTGGGTCCAGTGCCACAGTTCTCCAGTGACTAAGACCTCAGGCTCTGGTGGGAAACACCTGGCTCTCCCCTGGGCTGCGAGCCTCTGGTTGCACATTGTGCTTTTCCTCTGATGAACGCAGTAAATAAGTGAATCGTCTCACTCTATTTGCAGGCGAGTGCTCGGTAACTGGCGATATGTATTTTCAGTCCTTTGACGGGCAGATCTACACCTTCCCTGCAACATGTCAGTACGTCCTGGCCAAGAGTCGGCGCTCAGGAAAGTTCACGGTCACCGTCCAAAATGCCCCCTGTGGAGCCGTAAGTTATTTTATTTAAAAAACCTTCTTGTTGAGTAGCGACTTTGTTCTTTTACTGTTTCTAAAACAAATGTCTCTCCATTGTGAAAAACCATTGTACAACTCTACCACTTTCTCCTCTGCAGTCCGGCTCTGCTGGCTTGGCTCACAGGGTTATGTTTGTCTGTCATGTAGATCATATCATAATTTAAGTGCTCAGTAATCCCTGCTGAGTTCAGGTCATTGTGTCAAAGAGCCACACTTCAACTTAAACACATGAAATCAAGCTCTGGCTGATAAATGTAACAAAAGCCTGAGAGCTTCTTCTCCTCTCCCCAAGCCGCCAGCGTCACAGCAGCCTTTGAGCTGCTCAGCAAACCGGGGGGAGATGGAGAGATATAAGATGTCCCACTCATCAGTGCAGAGGCCTGAGTCCTCTAACAGCCAGCTGAACAGGATTACCTTATCTGGCCTGACTGACGGAGCTGTGTGTGGCTTTGTAGTGCAGAGGGAGGCACTGAATGGGTCAGTGACTTGGACAGAGAGGAGGTTATGAGATAAGAGGAGATGAATGATGGGAAGGAGAAGTAGGGAGGCGGGAGGTAGGTGCCAAAACCTTTTAGCTATGAGCCTCTGCCACTTATGAAAGAGGTGATTCATAGATCACAGATCACTTACTGTCACCGAAACGCAGGGACCTTTAAAAAATACCCGAGTTACAGTAACTAATAAAACAGCTTTGAGAATTTCCATTATTCAAATGTACAGTGTTCATACAATATGACTCACCAGCAGATAGAAGCCTTAAAGCATCTATAATCAGTATTTTTATATTAACTATGAATCACTTGAGCACATTTTTTGTCAAAGGGTTTCTACTGGATTCTGCAGCTCCCCTCAGTCCTGCTGAGCTTTAGGACCACTTTCAGCTAAGTGTTGTTTTTGTCTGTCCACAATTCCAGTGTACTGTCCCCTTCATCTGAAGTTTGACCACAAGGTAAATATGTGAATAGACCACGAGCACATGCTCACACCAGCACATGGTTGTTGTCTGTAAGCTTTAAACTGAAGGTACAAACCTGCAAAACCTGATTTTTCGTGCTCGAAACCTAAATATGCAGCTTACAGAATGAGGTTATCAGGTACAAACCTGAACTGAGAATACAAAGACAAAATATTAAAATATTCCACACCTCTAGGCCTCGTTCACTGAGTCTCACGCCCCACAGCCAAAGCACAGCCTGTCATTAGTTTTAGTGAGACCACAGTATTTGCACAGGTGGAGCCAGAGCAAAGTGGTCCATCAAAGAAGCAGGATCATGGGCCGTCATCTGGCAGAGCTCTGTGATGCACAGTCACAGGGTAAAACTTTTTTCGTTTTTTGCTGCTGCTTGTTATTTCGCTCCATTTCCTCCTGTTATTTTGCACTCAGTGTGTGCACTGTTGTGAATCTGAATCTGAATCGCTGCTCTTTGTGAAAATATCAGCATGCTTCATCAAGCCATTTTGTCTAAATTGCAGAATTTGGATGGAGCCTGCATCCAGTCAGTTACCCTGGTTATTGATGAGGATCCAAAAACGGAGATTACCCTGAGTCACTTTGGCGAGGTCTTCAAGGCCGGACAGTACCGCATCTCTCTGCCCTATTCTGACGGTAACGTCCTCATCCTTTTTATCGCCTTCCAGCGCTGTTCACATCCAGTGCCTGACCTCTCTCGGCTCTCTGCGGCTCATGGCAGAGATGGATTGAATGACAGCTGTTCTACTGAACAGAAATCCTCTCAGTACTTTCCTGGGTTAGCGCTTGCATTGTGTTGCACAATGAGTTGTGTTGCATTGTGTTACACTCTGAGTATGAATCCCTTTTCAGACCTTTGTTTTCATGGCTGCTACGTTCTGCTGATGGAGTCAACAGCCTGTTTGTTTTGTGCAGAGCTGTGTGAGAATGATCTAATAGTTTGGTCTCTGACGGAGGAAAAACACACTCACGCTGAATGTTCTGTTACAGACAAGTTCCGGCAAAGTCACGTTTCTGACACTATGTAATGAAGCAGTCAGTCATTAAGTCAGTCAACCGATTAATCGATTAGTTTGGCTTTTCTTTCATTTACAACTGCAATACAAAGTATTTAGAATAAAGAAAGCAATAAATTCAGAAGTATAAACCCAAATAGACCCAAAAACTCACGCTGATATGATTAGTCGATTAATTTGATCAGTTATTATTCAGCCATTTGAGCCTTTATCAAGCAGACGTTAAACGTTTAATACGTTTCCAGGTCCTCAGATGTGAGGATCGCTTTGCTTTACATCAGAATAAATAAAATATGTTTTGGCTGGTTGGTTGGACAGAACAATAAATGTGAAGACTGGGCAATGTATCAGAGAATTTTTCACAATTTTTTGATATTTTATGAATTTAACAATCAATTGATTGACCAAATCTGAAAATAACTGTTAGCTGCAGCTGCACCCAAGGCCCAAAAATCAAAGTAAACATAGATTTCATAAGTTGGTCTAATTGTCTGCTAAACTGAAGAAGACTTAATTGTTCAAACTAACTGTTTCATTGCTCTGAACCAGAAACTCAAGGTTGTCTTTAGGTTTTTTCTGGAGGCACCATTTTGCACAGCCTTGCTACCAAGCAGCGCAGCCTGGCGTGGCTGTCTTCTGCTGTGAGTCTGTGGTGGAAACACACCTTAGCATGTCTTGGCTTGGCACGGCGTGGATTCTGTAAAAATCCTGAAGTGTTATGGAGCAGTTTTATTTAGCAACGAGTCTTTGTTTTGTTTATATCGTGGCTGTGAGTTGTCCTGCAGCCGTGCTGACACTAATCATCAATAGGTGGTGAAATGTGCCACCTGATGTAGCGATGCACCAGCAAAAAAAACTTGAGCAAATGGATGTAAACAGTGTAAAAACATGGGCTTAGTAAATTTTTTTGGGAATGCCTATGTGCTAATATTAACACGTCCTCCCACATCTCCTGCAGACATCTTCCACGTCCAGGAACTATCGTCCATGTTCCTCCAGGTGAAGACGGCGTTCGGCCTGCGCCTGCAGTACTGCTGGAAGGAATTTCGTCTCTACCTGCAGGCCGACGAGCTGTGGAAGGACGACACGGTGGGGCTGTGCGGCACCTTCAATGGCAACATTCAAGATGACTTTCTGTAAGTGCGTACAGGCTGACCTTTGACCCCTCCCGCGCTCTTTGTTAACCCCCCTCCACTAATAAAAAGAGAGAGTGTACTCCTGTTTCAGAGGCAGAGAGGGAGGCAATGGTGAAGTGATCTCTCTCTCTCTCTCCCTGTAATGCACACTGCAGTGGCTTGCCATCAAAAGCCTGGCTCTCTGAGCTGCTGTTTTAGACAGGCCAGATCAGCGGCCAAATGGTCACACCACTTCAACAAGGAATTTACTGTTGGTGGAAGAGGGGCTCCACTGTTACGCGCCTTAATGGCTGACCATGAAGGGCGGATGCTGTCGAACAGCTGTAAATGGATATACGTCACACTCGGTGACTGAAGTGGTCATATGCTGCTACAAAGAAACCTGGAGCCCCCCCCATTTTACTGTACAGTACTTACAGGTGTACACAGGTAGAGTGCGACCCTGAGACTCAGTGATAACGACACTGGATCAGCTTCTACCAAAATGTATGAAAAGCCCTTTTCTGGCTCTGTGTTGTTGTAATGAATCTGCACTCTGGTCGTCCTGCAGATCTCCATCAGGTATGATAGAAAGCACTCCTCAGCTGTTTGGAAACACCTGGAGAGTCTCGTCCTCCTGTTCACCCACCCTGAGCTCGCCTCCGCTCGACCCCTGTGACACGCACCAGCAGGCCGGTCAGTTCCTCTTCCTCCTGTCTCTGCAGCTCCTTTCTATTTGAATAGGAGTTAACAGAAACGTGGATATCGTGATGTGATATGAGAGTCATCAACACCAAGATTTAAAGTACACTGAACCTGACAATGAACAAATCCAGTTGGTCTAAATCTGCATTTTTCAAAGTTTGTAGTAAGTTTTAGTGTATATATCATTCAGTTTTGTTTTGTTTACAGACTTTAAACCTGAATAAGGGACAATATGAGCCTTCTTCAAGGCAAAACATTTGCACCCATAAAATTTTTTTAAGGATTTAAGCATGTGATAAGACATTCATTTATACAGATAAGCTGCTTCTAAATTCATCAGACTTTATATTTGAACATTTTCTGAAACGAATTCTATGAATTTCTTGCATTTGTTTGCATTGTTTTACAGTTAGTTTATGAGCGAATTGATATCATACTCTCAAAGCTAATACAGGGACAGTAAAGTCCTGTTAAAACCTTTCTGATATTACATGTATACTGGCCTTGTATGTCGGCCTGAGCCTCACCTGTAATGTGGTGTTGAACCACTCCTTCCCCTGCTCAGTGGCCTACGCCTCAGAGAAGTGTGACGTGCTGAACCAGGATCTGTTCTCCGCCTGTCACGAGTACCTCAGTCCGACACCCTTCCACCAGCAGTGTCGTTCGAGTACCTGTAAGTGCGGGACGCCCTGCCTCTGCTCTGCACTGGCCCACTACGCTCGCCACTGCCGCAGGTTCTCCATCATCATTGACTTTCGTTCGCAGATACCTGACTGTGGTGAGTAGTCGACACATTTTGTCTGCAGGCCACAGAGGATGTTTTGTGTGTGACAAAGAGTGTCTTTGTTAAAAGGCTCACATGGGCTTTCCTTGTTTGGTTAAAATGCCCAGTATAACATTATCTTATGTATCCATTAATCATCGTGAGCAGCTTCCTGCTGTGTAACATACGGTCTCTCCTGGCAGTGCTCACCTGTCCTGCCACCATGCTGTACGGCACCTGCGTCTCGTCCTGCCAGCGCCGCTGCTCCGCGCTCTCCATCCCTCAGCACTGTGAGGAGGAGTGTGAGGAGGGCTGCGTCTGCCCTCAGGGGTCCTTCTACAACCATCGGACGCAAACATGTGTGCACAGGTAAGGCTGAGAGTGTGTGGGCTCCAGGTAACATCAAGAAATACATTAAATCAATCTCCATTTACTTTTCTTTGTGCAACGTGACAACACAAGAAGAGCGATGCAGTGATTACCACTGCAGCAGGTCAACCTGGCTAAATGTTAGCATATTTTCCTTCTGTACTGAGATGATAACATGTTACAGCCATGGTGTCATTAAGTGTTAAGTTGTGGAGGCAGCTGGAGAACCGGGCGTCCTTGTTGTGTATTGGAGCAGCTCCGGCACTGCCTGCTGTAGGGTTGTGGGCCTGTTAAATGACGAACCAGCTGGAGTCACTCCATCAAACAAATCCTTTCAAAGTGATGCTTGTGGCTGCTCTGAGGTTTAGGTCAGCTTTAAGTGGGAGACTTCTCCTGCTGACGTTACAAAGCCAGAGGACGCCGGCTCTGCCTCAGAAGACAAGCGGCTGAACTCCTCTTAAATGTCCCAGGTTTTTACATCCTCGTGCAGCGCGGTGACTTACTTATCATGTGATAGAGTTACATCGAGAAATTCACCGTGAAACCCCCCTTTCATTGCCACTCGGGCTGGGGACAACACAGACATCTGATAACTAGTGAGGAAGAATCTGTAGTACAGAAGCTGATGTGTGTTTCAACACTGTTGACCACAGTGCAGAGCCACTGCCATTTTCACATTTTATTTTCATTTATTATTTTGTCTAAACAGACCGAAGGAGGTTTGGTTATGGATTCAACACTGATTTCAGCTGCTAAAGCCTTATGTGTCCCCCATCCATGAACCTGTAGTACTCTATTTAAGGAGACAGAAAGCCCCCCTTAATGCTATTCTTTATACAACAAGCTGTGTCTGATCTGCAAAACTCAAAGCCTGATACTTCTGCAGACTGTCTGGACATCCAGTGATAAGGCTCGTGTTCACTGTGAGGTTCAAAATTTCTGTCACATCATTATAATGAGGTTTTCTCTCTGAGTCATGCGTGTGTGTGGCTTTTTAGGAGCGAGTGTCCCTGCAGTTTCCTTGGAGCAGATTACGAACCGGGAGATGTGATCATGACGTCAGCAGGAGTTCAGTAAGCTCCCCCTCCCCGTCTCTGTCTTCCTAATCAGAATGCTCACAGCATTAGCAAAACATCCTGTCAGTCTCCAGGACATCTTTATATTTAGTTTTGTGTATATTCCTTAATTAACTTCCTGTGTAATTTCTACACTGACCTTCATCATGTAGTGCCTCTCTGTCTCTCTGCAGGCTCTGTCTGAACGGTAAGCTGGTGTCCCAAACAGCAGACACCGGTAAGTCATTCAGACGCGTTTCTTTAATTCTGTCTAGTTAGTTCTGAAGCTTCTGTAATGACCATCACATCGACTGATTAGAACATGAATGATAAGAAGCCTTTTGTTGAACATAAGACCTAGGAGGACAGGAGGCAGAGGACAACATAGTGTTAATGGATAAAGTCTTTAACAGTTTCTTAAAGGTGCTCTTCACTGTATCTTGTTCCTAAGCTGTTGTTTCTCCTTCACTTCTTGGAGACGGGCTGTGTCCGGCAGGGCAGCTCTACCAGAACTGCTCAGAGGGGGAGGACGGCCTCCTGTCAGGAAGGGGTGTGGCCTGTGAATACACCTGTGAATCCTACCTGCTCAACCTCACCTGCTCGACAAATGAGCCCTGTGTGGCTGGATGTACCTGCCCTCCTGGGTGAGCGGCGCTGTTTTGTCTGTCGCACAATAGTTGTGTGTGGAAGTTACAGTGAAATCATTTTATCCATCTGAAATTTCATTCACCATATTTAAAGTTGATTAATCAATGACTTTTATTTACATGTCTGAAAATGCATAACATCTGGCAGAGTCACTCACACTGACCGGTGACTTTCAGTGCACTAGCAGCTACAGCTGATTTTAATAAATGTAGACAAACAACCACACACGCACGCACTTCTACGGGCAATTTAGAGTCGCCAGTCCACGGAAAGAACCCACACAGGCACAGGGAGAACATGCAGACTCCACAGAGAAAGGCCCTGGGTCGGCCAGAGCTTGAACCCGGAACCTTCTTGCTGTGAGGTGACAGCGTTAACCACCGCACTGCTGCGCCACCCAGAATAGTTAACATGATTAAGTATTTCAGTCACATAAAATAAACTAAAAGATGCCATTTAATGCAAATTACTTGTCTTTCATTACACTAAACCACAGCTAAATCTAACAGGAAGTGAACAACTGTCCTCCCTTCAACATGGACTTTGTCGCTCTTTACGAGACGTCAGTGAGACTGACTGCCATAATTGCTGCCGCCACTACAAGTTGCCTAATCATCAATGATGTGTTTTGATGATATCCACCTTCTGGCCTTCTGGTAGGTGCTCCTACCGAAGTGTAATTATGAGTGTGATAACATTTAAATCAGCAGTTCATACGATCCAATTACAGAGCACCTCAGTGAAACATCCTGACTGTAGTCTGTCCTGGTTGACACACAGCACCAGTCTGGGTTTTCTGCCTGTTTCTCAGTGCAGAGGTTTGACACAGAGGAAACGTCCGTGGGGGCCAGAGATACCTCATGGTCATCTCAGCCCTGCGTCACCTCTGCTGACCTCACCGCTGTGATTCATTTATTCCTCTTCACCACTTGTTGGTGAAGAGGAAGGTGATCAAGCAAGGTGATCTTGTTGGTGATGTCCCGAATGCCAGTCATGGAATGAGTAGTTAATAACTCCCTGAAACCTGAGAGTTTGTGAACTAATGTTGTGGGGAACATGGACACAAAGAAATCTCAGTCCTTGGTGACGGCTGTGCTAATAAGTGCAGTGACAGGGAGACGATGTAAAGGTTCGCTGGGTGATCATCTGATGGCTGACATCAGCCTGGAGCCGTGAGTCTGAATCAGAGAAGCTTGTTTTCTTCAGTTTTGTGGGAACAGACTCTGTGAGTGTGGCTCAGGTGTCTCCAGCTGAAACAGTGCTGTCTGAATGAAGCTGACTGGACTCTCAGCACTTCCCTTGTCAATACTTGTTACGGTATTTCAGGCGTGTCATTATCAGCTTATTTTATGCACATTTTGAGTTTCCTTATAAACCTTGCAAACCAAATTTTTTTTTGTTTAATTTTATTGAATTTATATTTCTTGCCTACATCAACAACAGAAGCATAAGGTTTTGTGAAAACATCCCAACCCTGCTCTTGGGCTGTACTGTAACGCAGTTCTCTCTTCTTTTGCTACACTTCTTTGTGTGTTATCGCTGCCAAATATGCTTTTCTTCATATTGATTTTATTGTCGGCTTCTGACAGCACCGGCCACATGTCTTCAGCTTGCTGGTTCTAAAACAGACAGCAGCTGCCCCCTATGTCATATTAGATCTTAGATAATGATTGTAATATCAGGGGACAAAACATCCAAACGCAAAGGCAACTGTAGCAGGACCTTAAACCTCTAATGAAAAGTGATGAGCTGCTGACAAAAAAACCCCCCACTGTTTACATTCACAATGGCACAATTCATTAATTGCTCTTTCTGTGCCAGTTAGCTCAGTCGAACTCCCGTGAACCTGGACTTTCAGGTGCGATGCAGGCCCATGCAGCACGACCTCTCAGTGAAGGTGCAGTTAGGAAGGCGATTAAAGTCTCCTGACTTAACAATAAGCTCTGAAGATATTTTGAAATGTGAGCAGCACAGGATGCTACCACCAGATTAGGAGGTAAATATTTAATGGTAGTATTTCAGAAATAGGAAAAATGGTGAGGCCAACTTTCAGGCACAAACCAGGAGCTGAAATGATGGTGATTAGTCAAGCAGGTGTACAACCACAAGAACTGCAGCAGTTACTACTGCATGACAACCAGTACTTTATAAAAGAAGTGGCCATTCGGAGGGAGCAGACAGAAACAGACAGACCATGGCAGAACAACACAGACAAAAAAGAATCTCACACAAAACTGTAGAAAAAGGAAGGAGTGGAGCAAACTGACAGCTCTCCAGGTCTGATGCTGTGGCTGGTTGTGCTGGCTCCAGTAGTGTCGCTGCCTCACTGTTGGTAAATAAAGTCATAGGTCACGTTAGGGCTGCACGATTAATTGTATTGTGAGACTAGTAGTAAGAATGCGTTGCATCACATGATGAGCTGTAGACAGGAAGAGAGAAGACTGATTCAAAAACAAATCCAACATGTCATATGTTGCGCTGCCTGCCCTGCTCACCTAGCGGTGAAAAGCAGGTGGAAAAAAAAATCACTTTGCAGTTAGTGGTTAACGCAGCTTAGCGAGGAAAAAGGAGCGCTTAGTTTGATGCAAGGCCTCTCCCTGCTAATGCAAACATGGGAGAACTATTATCACATGGGACTGAGATCACACAGGGGTCTGAATCACGCTCACAAAACGATTTATTGTGCAGGCCTGTGTCATGTTCATGTAAACCTGAAAGAAAATCTCTTTCAGCTTCTTACATTGTTCATTACACTCGACTGCTGTCCTGTCAAGTGTACGTACTTGTCTACACTTAAAAGTACACTCGCCTGCTTTGCAGCTGAGTGCATGAAAGTGATGCTCAGATTACTGAAAGTGTGTGTGACACTTTGAACTTTTGTCATCTTGTAGAATTACACTTAGCTGTGTTTAGGAGGATTTATTCATAATGTGCACGTAGGTCAGGAGAATGAATGACTTTAGAATCTTTGATCAGAGTCATTGATACGGCAGCTTGGCGGGGGGATAAAAGAAGCTGTTATCATGGTTTTATCTGGAGTGTAACTCTACTCACATGAACCTGAGGTTTGTGGCCGGACCATTCACTATGTCACTTCATTGTCTGCAGCCTCGCCAGTGGACACAGCTCAACCCCAGATATTACAAGATACTTATCGGCTCTGTCTTGCAGAGTGGGAAGCAAATGGAGGGAGCCAAACAAAGACTGGTTCTCTCTGTCTCTGAGAATCCTAATTGTCAGGTTTTCTCATGTAACTAATGAGTGTTACTGCTTTTCATCCACAGTCGCCCACCCTGAAACTCTGTCCTGTACCGGGGAGACACTGGGACAGGACAGAGGGAGCTCCGCCTCTGCCACTCTCTTTGAAAATGGCGGCCCTCATATCGGGGTTAGAGATGAAAACAGGAGCTCCGAATAATGTTACAACTTGATGGCATCCTGTTAGACCTCAGCTCTTTAATATCTATGACCATTGCTTAGAACTAGAGTGTACTGAGTTTCAGTCAACAACTCAACCAGGTGTGTTGTCATTCTGATGGGCTTCACACCTCAGGCCACATGCACTGGTTGCGTGTGGTCCTTGAGTGAGAACAACAGAAACAACCCTCACCACCCGAAAATGACTCGTGTCAGCTGTTTGTGATCTGAAAACTTTGTGGTAAAGTCCGGTTAGATTCTGCTGAGGGTTCAACAAAGGGGGCTGTGGTGTCTTTATCACTGAAACATTTTGTCAATGAATCAATCAGAAAATAAATCAAACAATAGAATTAATTAGATCTATTACCAAGCAAGAATGCAGAACAGTCTCTGTTTCCAGCTTCATAAATGTGATAATTTATTACTTTTCTCTTTGGGTTTTTGACTGTTGGTCAGATAAAACAAGTAAACAGCCTTAAGAGCCACATTCCCAAACCCCCACTCCTTTATCGGTTTTGTGGCGGGTTAACAAATTTATAAAAAATAAAATTAAACAAATGT